TCCTTTGTAAAACCGTGTTGAGATTAATTAATCAATCTGTACCTGTCAAGATGGCTGCGAATTGCTTCGGCAATTATTAATTACATAAATTTTCCCACTATGGAGGTAAGGCTTATTGGTCTATAGTTCTAAGCCAAGGACCTGTCACCTGCCTTGTAAATAGGTATTACATTTGCCATTTTCCACTTATCAGGCACTATGCCAGTTTGTAGTGATATGTTAAAATGGTTAGCCAAAGGTATGCTAAGTTCCTCTTTACATTCCTTTAACACCCTTGCAAACAGTTCATTAGGGCCTGGGGATTTGTTAGGTTTTAGTTTCTCTATTTGTCTGAGGACCATGTCACTAGTTACCGCAATCATGCATAGTTTATTACCGTTCGGTTCTTCATAATCTATTATTTCAGGAATTTTGCTACTATTGTCCTGGGTGAAAACTCAGAGGAAGTAGGTGTTGAGGATTTCACACATATCCCTATCACTGTCAGTGATCTAACCCTTTTGGGTTAATCTTTGAATCCCTTGCGACCTTAGCATCACAATCCCTTTTTGTTTTTCTTATTCCTTTCTTTATTTATCTCTTTAATTGAATATATTGATTTCTTAACTGCCCATCTTTATATATATATATATATATATATATATATATATATATATATATATATATATATATATGTTTGTATATATATATATATATATATATTATATATATATATATATATATATATATATATATATATGTTTGTATATATATATATATATATATATATATATATATATATATATATATATATATATATATATATTATATATATATATATATATATATATATATATATATATAATGTTTGTATATATATATATATATATATATATATATATATTATATATATATATATATATATATATATATATATATATATATATATATATATATATATATATATATATATATATATGGGCAGACATTTTTTCAATAAAGAATCCCACATGGCACGTAAGTGTCTATATTTTCAACCTGTCGGTTGTAAACCATTTATTACATCTGTCAGACACTGTAACATCATGGGATCTTGATACAAGGAATTCTTCAATACTTGTCCAACCTTTGGACGAAGACCTACTTACACTAGTGAATGTTTCCACTGTGATCCCGCCTCCTCTTGCTTCCACTCACCTGACTGCAGTATATAAGCCACTTCTGCGACTATATGTTCTACTTTCTACAAGATTGATGGATTGAACACATCTATTACAGGCTGACGGACTGGTTACCTCAAACCTCTTCTCTCCTTACACCTTTCTGCTTTTTATTGAACTAATGAAGCCACTCTGTGGCGAACCGTTTCTTCCATGAAAATTCCCATGTTGGTTAAATAAGTGTCAAAATCTTCACACACACACACACACATACACACACACACCACACACACACACACACACACACACACACACACACACACACACACACACACACTCACACACACACACACACACACACACACACACACACACACACACACACGCACACATTCAGAAGAGCTCATGCATGCAGGGCAAAGCTCCTGATCATGGGTGACTTTAACCACAAGGAAATCGATTGGGAGAACTTGGGGCCACATGGGGGCCAAGATACATGGAGGACTAAGATGATGGAGGTTGTACTGGAAAACTTCATGTACCAACACGTAAGGGACACTACAAGAGAGAGAGGAGAAGATAAACCAGCAAGACTGGACCTGGTATTCACCTTGAGTAGTGCAGATATTGAGGACATCTCATATGAAAGACCCTTTGGGGCCAGCGATCATGTGGTTTTAAGCTTCGAATACACAGTAGAGCTACAAGTGGAGGGGGAAGCAGGAAGGCCAGGGCGAATGAAGCCAAACTGCAAGAAAGGAGACTACACGGGAATGAGGAACTTGCTGAATGGAGTTCAGTGGGACAGAGAACTGGCAGGGAAGCCAGTTAATGAGATGATGGAATATATAACAACAATATGCAATGAATGTGAGGAGAGGTTTGTACCCAAGGGTAACAGGAATAATGAAAAAGCCAGGTTGAGCCCATGGTTCACCCAAAGGTGCAGGGAGGCAAAAGCCAAGTGTGCTAGGGAATGGAAGAAATATAGAAGGCAAAGGACCCAGGAGAATAAGGAGAGGAGTCGCAGAGCCAGAAACGAATATGCACAGATAAGAAGGGAGGCCCAACGACAATATGAAAACGAGATAGCAGCGAAAGCCAAATCTGACCCGAAGCTGTTATACAGCCACATCGGGAGGAAAACAACATTCAAGGACCAGGTAATCAGGCTAAGGAAGGAAGAAGGAGAGACAACAAGAAATGACCGTGAAGTATGTGAGTAACTCAACAAGAGATTTAAAGAAGTGTTCACAGAGGAGACAGAAGGGGCACTCAGAACATATTAATAAGGAATCGTTCAGGACCCTTTACACCGTGTACGTTAGGCCCATATTGGAGTATGCGGCACCAGTTTGGAA